CTCCCTTTCCTGATTTTTCACATTTGCTGTCTGGTCACCCTACCTATGGTCCCTGCCACCATCTCCGCCTCTTCCCTGCAAGGCCCTACCCATGCTCCGCCTCTTCCCCCAAAGCCCCGCCTCCTTCACTCGCTCCTCTTCCCCCTTTCCCTCCCTCGCTCGCTGGATTGTCTCCACCTCCCTCTCCCTCCCCCCTGCCAGCTGGGCTCCCTCTGCTCCGGGTCTGGAACCGGAGCTGCTGCTGGCAAGGAGCCTGTCTGCAGATAGGAGGCGGCCCCGGCGGGTGCAGGCTAATGACCTGGCACCTCCCCTCGCCCCACAGTAACCGGGCTTTTGGTGTCTGGTCAGTACATCTGCCCGGACACTGCCACGTCCCCTTTACGACCGAACTTTCCGGGCACCCGGCAACCCTAAATGGCACCGGGACACAGAAGCCCAAAACTGTCTGGGTACAACCCGGCGGGGTGACAACCCTCGTTAGAAGCCTTAGCAGAGAGGCCAGGGCCCAGGAGACTCAACGACCCTGAAAACAGGGGGCAAAATGCCTGCGCTCAGTTGCACTTGTATACAGACCGGTTACCTCATTGAGGCCTCTCTGATGGGGTCCCTCCAGAACAAGGCAGGGGTCTATTGGGAAAAGCCGGGCCTTCGGCACTCCGGGCTGGCGATCCTAAAATGAATGCAGAAAGAAGGTTTCCTCTTTTCTTTTCTTTGAATGGCATTCTCTTATCGGACGCAAACCCAGCATAAAATTCTCCGGCCAGTACAAAGGCACCACTAACATATTTCAGCTGAACAACTGAGAGTGAAACCGCGGCCTGGTTGCCTTTGAACTTCCCCTTCATTCTAGATGTACTAGTCTAGACAGAGACTATAAAGACTTGTGGACTCTTTGTAGGTTCAGTAGCTGGAATGTCATTAACAGGAGTTGTGCTAAATGCAGTGGGTCAAATTCTGCTTTCGCATGCTTGAGAAACCCACTGACTAAAGTTGAGAGGGTTGCGTGGAGTGGAATTTAGTATATCCAAAGCCCAGTACAACCAGGAAGGATGGTCCAGTGCTTAGGGAACCAGCTTAGGACCTGGGGGCAAGTCCCTGCTCTGCCACAAACTTCTTGTGTGACCTTGGGTGAGTCACTTAGCCTATCTGTGCCTCAGTTTTCCCATCTGTATAATGGGGATAATAGTACTGCCCTCCCTTTCCAGGGTGTTGTGGGGATAAATACTCTAGAGGTTGGGATGCACTTTGAGATCTACAGATAAAAAGCACTATGTAAGAGCTAGGTATTATTATTATTATTCAACATTATATGTGGCCTACAAAGAGAAGAATTGTGCCTCTTTTTTGGTTTCTTTGTGATGCACAGAGAAGGCGGGAAACACTTTTTTCTCCTTTTCTATTTTAGAACTATCAGGAAGATCAGTTCTCACCTCCTCTGGTTTTTGCTGGAGAACTCCTTGGATGACTCACAGATATTGATGGAAGCTGTGGTGACCCTTCTTTGAAAGGACAAGAGAGACGGATCCTGAAATAGGCGCTTCTCTCCCCAATGCATTGACTCCCACTTCCAACTGGCCAACGATCCCAGCCTTCATCGCCCGTTTGCTACATGCCTTCCCGTGAACATCCACAAAGTCGCAGCATCGTCCTCAAAACTCTCCTTTGTGGCGATGCTTACAAAAAACCCAACACCAGTCAGAGAGCGGGGGGGTTTAAACCACTGCCAATCAGACTGACCGGTATTGTCTCATTGTTTCCTCCGGCTCTCCCGTCTGCCTCCACCTGGTCTCTCTCATCTTCTGCTTCTGCTGCAAACTGTTTGGAGCGGGAGGCCATCTTTTTTGTAGAGGTGTCTGTACAGTGCCTTGTACAATGGGGTAAAAACAGTACAAACAGTCAAAAAAAAAGTCACTAAATTAACAGCAACAATCATGCACATAGCAGTATGCTGGGATTCACGGCCTACCTGTGGTAAGTATTGCTATGCATAGAGAGGACCCCAAACCACCAAGTCTGTAGGTCGATCTAGCTATGAAGGGTATTTGGAGCTGGGCTTTTGGTTTGTACAGCCCCGATCACAGTGGCTCATACAAACAATAAACAGGAATGACAGGTGGAATCTAGTATCAGGGGGTAGCCGTGTTAGTCTGTATCTACAAAAACAACAAGGAGTCTGGTGGCACCTTAAAGACTAACAGATTTATTTGGGCATAAGCTTTCGTGAGTTAAAACCTCACTTCTTCGGATGCAGGTGGAATCTGTACCTGGTCCGCACTTCAGAAAAATGTTGGGCCCCCTGCCACATGGCGCAGGGTAAGAACTATTCATGGCCTCCATCGCGCAGGCCGTTCCTTTGAGACAGGACTTTGGGCATTGCTACTAACCGGGCTAGCATCTTCTGCGCACCAGATCCCTCTCCTCTTCTCCCAGAATGGGAGTCAGCGAGCAGACACACCTTCATGGAGCGATTGCCTTCAAATGTATCAAAAAAGATAATCAAGGATTCCTCTCTCCACCCCCGTTTCCTCGTTACAAACAGCGCCGGGAGCTGTGCTGATTGCAATTCATCAGCAGGAAACGGGAGTCATTAAAGCGGTCTGGCCTAGGCCCTGTAATTAATTAGTTGCAAGAGCACCTTGGCATTCGGGGAGAGGCCTCAGTGGGGAGAGCGACAGCTTCGTTCCTAAATGCTCCTCAGCCCAGCGCAGAGTCACCGTCCCTGGGAGCTGCTGCCGAGGTGTCCCCATAAATGGAAATGAAAAGTTGCTGTAACCAGGGGAAAAGGAGGGAGATCGGATAGGCGCTGCCATTGGCCGCTGCTACGCGGGTCTGGGGTGAGCTTTCCAAGCCATTACGTGTTATTGCAGAGATCAGATGCTGGAAATATATAGGAACGTCTCCTGCAGGGACAGTTGCTTCTAGACCAGGAACCTTTGAACTGGAAGACTCCGATATTTGCTGGGATTTAGAATAAGGCGTCTTGTCCTGGTGTGCTGTCCAGAGTACTCATCAACCAGGTGCTCACGGGTGAAACCAGCCAAGCAAACACAAAGACATCCCCAAAGGCACTGGAGGGCAGAGTCTCCGGGGCTTTGGACATGTACAGGATGCCGCGCTGTGACTTGCAAACATCTGCATCTGTACGAGAGCTGCCTGGAGAATGGGGCTAGACTCAGAGCTGCATACTCATGGCATGCAAATCTAGAACTCCTTGCAAACTCCCAAGGCTGCCAACCGCACCGCAGCTCAGAGACGGGCTAGCATCCCAGAGGGGTGGCAGCAGCAGCAGGCCTTTCCATGCTGATGTTGTTAAAAAGCAGAGCGATGCAAGAATCATGGAAAAAAGGAGCCTAAGCTGGAAGATACAGGCGATGACTGGCCTGGGGGAGAAGGGCAGGCAGTTAGGTCTAGTGGATAGGGCACTGGAGTGGGAGTCAGGAGACCAGGGTTCAAATCTTGGCTTGCCCATTGGCCGGCTGGCTGACCTTGGGCATGTCACTTTTCCTGCACACAGCCAATCCCAAGTGTTCAAAAGCCCCCAGTCAGGCCCCCAGGAAACTGGCTGATGCATCATGAGATATATAAACATAAATAAATGTTGGCATCTTTTTATTTGCCTTGTGGGGTTTGAGTCTTTAGGCGTCACCATTTTAAGCTTCTCTCTGGAACCAGGAGGGCTAGACCACGTCTTGGGAAAGCCGAGACCCTCACAGGCTCACAGGGCTCCAGGAGCTTGAGTTGGCAACGCTGCCCACCCTTTGCCCGTCTTGCCTACCTAGAGCAGCAGCATTTTGGGACATGGATGGCCACTTGCTATATTTGTACAGCACAACGGTGCCTTGATCTGGGTTGGCCTCCCGGTGTCAGACAGAGGAAAAATGTCAAATAACAGGACATACGCCCAACAGCTGCTCCTTGCTCATGATAGGGAGCTTGCTGAATCTGACCTGCCTTGAGCAGGGGGTGGGACTAGATACCTCCTGAGGTCTCTTCCGACCCTGATAGTCTATGATTCTACGACTTAGTCAAGGCTCTGTGGGACCATAAGAACAGGCTTTCTGGGGGGATTGCCTCCTGCTTTGGCTATGCTAGAATAATCTTGCTAGTGGTGTTTCAGGTAGCGCAGAAACACGAAACGTGAAAAAAACTGATACCAAAGCAAAAAAACGGTGTTCACCACGTTGTCTTTGGACCTTCAGGCAAAGTTCTCTCCATGCTCTGGCGAAGGGCCAGGGGAGTATTGGTTTATTGGAACCAGTGTGCCCATCCCTAGATATCCAACCACCTGAATCCCTGCCCCTGATCCTTCCACCCTGCCCAGAGCTGTGTAGCTCAGAAGTTCCTTGGCGAAACAGCTGTCAGCAGCCCCATTGACTTGGAGGAAGCAGGTCCCCAGCTGCCGAGCCGGAGGCAGATTTCTTTATAGCAGTGGTCAGTGAAGATGTTCTCTGAATAAATGAACAAACCGAGGTCCTTAAATGAACAGTACATCCTTCCTCAGGTCAATTTTGCAGAGGAAGAAGGTATTTCAAGAGTACACGGTTACTGCCTACAGCTTTCCCAAGTCAGCCAGGGGACATTTTTGTGGCAGCTGTAAATCGGACCGTGTTTCTGTTTCAGGTCCATGAGGACGTTATTTCAGTCTGATATAGTGCATCACAAATGGGATTGAAAGCGCCCATCTCTGGACAGATACAAAGCCTCCTAATGCATTCAAACCCCAGAGAAGCAGGCTCTTATATCTACCCACAGCTGGTAGCTGGCTATCCTTCACTCTTCTATACACAGATGGCACTGGCAGGAGTTAGTGCGTGAATGGTTAAAAATAATTCATAAAGTCCTTTGCTGGAGCATGTTGATTTTAGCGTGCGGCACAGATGTCATGACGATAACAGGGGATTTTCTCTAGTCCTGCCTGGCTTTGTCATTAGAATCTCCCTTTCCTTTGCCTTGGCTGAAAACCACAGCTAAAGGGGAAATCAACACCGGCTAGGAAATTAAGAATCTCCACAATAGAGCAACAGCGAGTCTGACGAAGTGGGTAGTCACCCACGAAAGCTCTTGCTCCAATACATCTGTTAGTCTTAAAGGTGCCACAGGACTCTTTGTCGCTTTTTACAGATCCAGACTAACACGGCTACCCCTCTGATACTTGACACAATAGAGCAGATATTTTCCTGGTTAAAAGAACAGGAGTACTTGTGGCACCTTAGAGACTAACAAATGGATTTGAGCATAAGCTTTTGTGGGCTACAGCCCACTTCATCAGATGCATAGAATGGAACATACAGTAAGAAGATATATATACATACAGAGAACATGAAAAGGTGGAAGTAGCCATACCAACTGTAAGAGGCTAATTAATTAAGATGAGCTATTATCAGCAGGAGAAAAAAAACGTTTGTAGTGCATTTGGTCACCAACAGCTGGTAAGAACACTGCTCACCGGGCTCCGGGAGTCAGAGGACGTTTTAGAGGGTCATCATGTTCTCTTTAACACCAGCCTCACTTAGCCTGCCAAATTCTCAGCCACAAGCTATCCTAGAGGCCTAGGGTTTAGC